AACTTGGCCCCCAAAAAAATCCCCCGGGGCGCCCCCGCCCCCTTTTCCCGCCCCCATTTCCGGCCCCCATTGGAGCCCCCCCCCCCCCCCCTTTGGGGCCCCCTTCCGACAAAAATGGTGGAAAAGGCCGTTATTGACCCCTTTTCCTTTCTTTGGGGGCCCCGAGGGGGCCCCCCCCCCCCCCCCCACCACCACCACCACCATCCCACCGCCTTGCCTCTCGCACACCGCCCCCCTCCCCCCCCACCTGCTCCTCTCGGCCAATCGCACACAGGTGCTACCCGAGCAGACGATGGTGGAAGACCTCGGCCGCGGCAAGATGCGCGTCACCATCGTGAACCCTCTTGCGGAGGTATATCACTGCCACCGCGAATACCCCCTTTCTATACAAGGCATGAGCATAAGGCTCGAAGGCGATCGATCCAGTGCACTCTCCAGTTGGGAGGAGGACTTGGTCTTGGGACAGCATCGACAGATTGCACGGCATGTGTACCGCACACCGAGACCGAGATCACCGAGATCAAACCGAAAAAATGTGCACCTCCGTACGTACCAGGAGATACATCAGCACACTTGTGTCGAGCGAGCCGTACCAGTCTAAAACTGTCTAGACAGGGCGCGTGAGCACCCACAACGCAACAGGCTCACGGCAGTACGGGCAGGCCGACATGCGGTCCGAGCAGGGCCCGCAAGCGCACAAGTGGCCGCAAGGCACCGCGACGTGCGACTTTGGGTTTGTGAAGCATATGATGCACGTGGTCTCGCCGCCTAGGGTGGACTCGGGAACAGGGCGGCCGGTATCGAAGCTGGCGTCTGCCAGCGAGATCTCCGCGAGCAGCGGCAGCAGCTCGGCAGGCCCCGACTCCGCTGTCGCCTCCTCCGCCTCCGCCTCGACTGCCTCCGCCTTCGTCGCTGCCGCCTCCACCTCCACCGCCACCGCCGCCACCTCCACCGCCACCGCCGCGGCGACGGCCTCCGCCTCCGCGGCTTCCGCCGCCGCCTCTTCCTCCGTCTCTTTTGCGACTTCCGCCTCGCCCTGCGACGCCTCGCCCTGCGATGGCCCCACGGCCTCGCCCTTGCCCTTCTTCTTCTTCCTCTTCTTGCTCCTCTTGCTCTCCTTGCTGCGCGCCTCCGCCTCCGCCTCCGCCTCGAGCTCCGCCAGCAGCGCCTCGCCGCGCCGCATCGCCTCCTCCTCCGCGGCGCGGCCGGCGTCCTTCGCCGCCTCCTCCTCCGCACGGCCGTGCTCCTCAAAGGCGCGCACAAAGTCGCTGCTGCCGATGCTCTTTGCGAGTTGCAGCGCCGTCTCGCCGCCCGTCACCCGGCTGCTATTGTTGCGGATGGCCGAGTCCGCGCCCGCCCGCAGCAGGACGAGCGCGACGGCGTGGTGGTTGCTGATGGCGGCAAACATGAGCGCGGTGAGCCCGTTGCTGTTCTGCCGGTCCAGCTCTGCGCCCCGCGCCAGCAGAACGCCAACCAGCTCCTCGCTGCCGCTCGCTGCGGCGAACATCAGCAGTGTGTACCCCGTCACCGTCCGGCGGGGCCTCCCCTTGCGCACATCCTCCTCGGTGCTCATCGCGTTGACGCACCCTCCCGCGTCCAGCCACGCCAGCACCGGCAGTGCGTCGCCCTCCTCGGCCGCCGCAGCCACCGCCTTTGGGAAGGGCTCTGCGGAGGGCAGCCCTAGGGGCAGCCCGCTCTGCCGCACCGTCCTCTCCAATGCGCCGCCCGCCGCGCCGCCCGCCGCGCCGCCCGCCGCGCCGCCCGCCGCCGCCGCCGCCGCCGCCGTGCTCGCCGCCCTCACCGACGCCGCCGCCGCCGCGACCCACGCATCGCTGCTCGCGCCTGCCACGGCCGCGGCGCCGCTTGCCTCGCGCCGCCCCATGAGTGCGACTCTGCTCGCCGCGAGCCCCTCGACGTGGCGCTTGAAGGCGTCGACGCACTCGTTGAGGCCGCCCTCCCTGGCCAGCGTGAGCGCCGTCCTGCCGCTCGCGTCGCGGGCCTTGATGTCGGCGCCCGCACGCAGCAGCCGGCGCACGGTGGCGGCGTGGGCCCCGGAGACGGCAAACATGAGCGGGGTGGCTCCATCTTTCGCCTGGCGGTCGACCTCCGCGCCGTGCTCGATCAGCTTGTCCACGAGCCGCTCGTGGCCCCCGCGGGCGGCAAACATGAGCGCCGTCTCGCCGAGAGCGGTGTCGAGGTCGACCGTGGCGCGGCGGAACAGCAGCTCGTGCACAATCATCTCGTGCCCCACAGTGGTGGCGTGCGCCGCCGCGGCGACCAGCGCTGTCCGCTTGGCGCTGTCCTGGTGGTTGATGTCGGCCCCGTGCTGGAGCAGCAGGTTGACCACGGGCTCATGGCCCTCGGCGGCGGCCGCCAGCAGCGCGGTGCGGCCGTTGCGGTCCTGCCGGTCGATCTCCGCGCCGCGCCGCAGCAGGAGGTCGACCGCCGTCGCGTCGCCCCGCACGACCGCTGCCAGGAGCTCGGCCATTGTCGCGTTGCTCTCCTCTACCTCGTCCTACCTCGTCCACGGCGCCGCGGTGGGTCGATTTTTTTCTTCTTAAACTAGCCGCTGGGATTGACACTCGCGGCCCAAAGGGTGGGTATGGTCCTGACCCATCCCCGGTCTCCGGGAGGCTGGGTCTGTCAGCAGGCGGGGGGGTATGGTCTATTATGTCAGCAGGCGGGGGGGTATCAAAGAGATATATTTCCCATTTCGCGCACAAAGAGCACAAAGGTGGTCCTGTGCCCCCGAGTTCATTGAATAAAAAGGTGGCACCTCGGCCAGCTGAAGCTCTCGACTCGTCGACCGAGCTCTGGACGATGCCGACCTCAAACCACCAGCGCCAGCAACGACGTGCCGCGGTTCGCCGCGCCGCTGTTGCGACCGACGACGTGCCCGACGCCGTCCCGCGGCCGAAAGGAAGAGGCCCGCGCAACCACTTCTGGGACCCGCGGCCGCCGGGCGTGCGGCGGCACAACGAGTCGAACGAACCGAACCAGCGCAGAGCGGCGCGTCTCGCGAGCGCCCGCGGCCGCCACGCCGACGCCGTCCGCGGCCGACGGTGGTCGCGAATCAACGCGGCGCGGTGCAACGAGGCCAAGTCCTTCCAGGCTCCCGCCAGCAGCGCCTCGTGGCGTGGGCTGCACGGCCCTTCGAGACGGCCCGGGGGGCGGTGAGAGACCTCTCCCGCCGGCATGGCGCACTATATCACCCGTAGAGGCCTCTTTATAGTCGCCTTTTGGCACCTCCTCTCTCCACGCCGCCGATTAGACCTCGCCGCATCGCATCGCCCCCTTCCCTGCCCCGTCGCCCTCCTGAGCTCTCCCTCCTTCGCTCCAGCCATGCACAGGACGACTGGGCCATTGGCCCGCGTGCCAGGCGTCCGGGACGGCCGGGTATCGGCTCCGTACTTTGAGCCCTCTTGGGCCACCCTCGCGTCCACCGGCCGCAAGAGCACCGCTTGGGCGACTCAGACGGCCCGCCCGACCAGCGCGTTCGATCGTGCCGCCCCCACAGCGTCAGTGGCGTGCGTGGGGTGGCAGGCGGCGTCCGCGCAGCCCCTCGTGGGGGTGCCCACCGCTCTCCTCTCACCGCTCCCCCCCGCCCCGTGGCACCCCACACACTCGTCCCTCCTCAGGGGCGCAAGGCGGCACGGCACGTTCAGCGCTTGCCTCGGCCCACCTCGCCTTCACGCCCGCCACCGCGACCAAGGAGGTGGCCTCGGCGGCCCAGATGAAGCCCGTAAGGCTCGTTTGGGAGCCGCATGCCGTCCCTCTCTCGCCGGCGCTGCTCACCACGCCCAAGCCTACGCCGAGGAACCCGTCGCGCCCGTCGCTCACGAGCTGGTGGCTCGCATCGACCGAGCCGTCCAGCTTTCTCACGCCCTGCCCACGATCAAATTCGAGACGACCAACATCCGACCACAAAAAAGGCCCGCGCGTGCTGCGCGGGCCGGCGAGCGACTAGCGAGCCAACCTGCTAGTGGTCTATTAAAGCAACACCGTGTCAAAAAGTGCGAACCCTGCGCTTCGCCCGATTTACTGGGGGGACCGTTGTACACACACATATGCGCGCCGTGCGCGCCTTTGCCACCCTCGCTCTGGCCACCCCATCGGCTGGACTCAATGCCATCCGCTTGCCGTCGCCCGCGACCGCTCCCGCCCTTGCGTCGCGGCAGTGCGCTCCGCAGGCCTCGTCGGCACGGCGGCTGAGCATTCTGGAGCTGCCACGCGCCACCGTCGCCGAGCCGCTCGCGCTGCTGCTGCTCTCGCAGCTCGTGCTGTTTGTCGGCGTCGGCGCTGTCATCCCGACCATCGCTTTGTACGGCAAGGCCATCGGCCTCTCTGCGGCGCTGAACGGCGTCGTCCTCTCGGCCCCAGCAGTCGCGCTGGCGCTGCTCGCTCGGCCCGCGGGCGGCTTCGCCGACCGCGCTCGCAAGCCGGCGATGCTGCTCGGCATGGCGGGCATCGTCGTGTCCGACCTCGGCACAGCGGCGGCCGACGGCCTCGGCACGCTCGTGCTCGCCCGGCTCGGCCTCGGCGCCGGCCGCTGCCTCTCCGAGTGCGGCGAGCGAGGCTACCTCGCGGACCTCGCCTCGCGCGTGCCATCGCTGCGCGGCGAGCTGCCCGCCCGCCCTCGGCCGCCTCTGGGGCCCCTCCTGGCACTCACCTCGGCCCGAACTGCACCGGCTGTCAGGCGAGCTTGCTGCGGCGCAGCAGGCGACGTGCGCGCTCGGCATCGCCATCGGAGCGCCGCTCGGAGGGGCCGCCGTCGAGAGCTTCGGGCCGAGGGCGGCGTTCCTCTGCGTCTCTGCTGCGGCGGCGGTCACCCTGCTGCTCTACTCCCTGCTGCCCGAGACGGTGGCGGCGGCGGAGGAGGGGCCGGGGAGGGAGAGGCGACTCGATCCGGGCGAGGGCGGCGAGGCGTGGGCGACGCTGCTGCAGGACCCTCGCTGGCGGGGGCTGGCCGTGTGCGAGGCGGGCGCGAGGTTCGGCTTCGCGGCCAAGGTGGCCTCGGTGCCAGTGCTGGCCGCGTCTGTCTTGCCAGGCGGCGCCGTCGCGGCCGGCTCGCTGCTCTCCGCCGCCGGCCTGGCCGGGCTGGCGGGCGCGCCGCTGGGTGGCTGGCTGACGGACAGGGCGGGCGCGCGGGCCACCGCGGCCGCCTCGGCCGCCGGCGCGGGTGCGGCCCTTCTGCTGGTGCCCTCTGTCCTCGCCGCGCCCGCGGGGGGGGCGGAGGCGTTCGGTGGCGCCTCCGCGAGCGGGCTCGGATTTTGCGGCCTGGTCCTGCTCTGGTCGGTGGCTGTGGCGGCGGAGGGCCCCGCCCTCGTCGCCGTCGGGCAGGAGCTCGCGCCTCCCGGCTCCGAGGCGACGGCGCTGGCGCTGCCGCGCGCCGTGGGCGATGCGGTGTACATTGTCGCCCCCTTCCTCCTCGGCACGGTCGCCGACGCCAGCCCGGGCCTTGGCGTCGAGTGCGCCGTCGCGGGGGCAGCGAGCCTGGTCGGCGCGGCCGCCCTCGCGGCGTTTGCTGGGAGTAGTGCGGGAGACGACGACGGATGACTTTGGGCGGTTGGGAGAGACTTGCGGGGATTCACAGGCCTTGTTCTTGAGAAGAAAATTACCTCCTAGTCACAGAAAAGCACAACCCCGGGCCCGAATCGCACAGTGACAGCCAGACACGGGGTCCTATTCACAGCCTGAGTTGCCGAGGTAAGGGGAATGATCAGAATGGCAAGGCTGGGAATGCGTTCTCAGAACGTTCAGAACACCGGCCGCTGGGCCCGCCTGAGGCGCTGAGACCCGGAGCCTCTCTCTCGGCACTAGCAGCAGATAGGCACAGGGTCAGGGACAGTGACGCGGCTCATCAGTCCTCCCTCAGCCCGACCTCGGACGGAAGACTACAAAGGTCGCAGGAATGATCAGAACGGCATCCATCCAGGCGGCACCGGCCCTACGACTCGGACCGTGCCACAGCCCATCCCCCCGGGCAGCCCACCGCCCACCGCCCGGCCCCAGCCGGTCCGACCTCTTCACACGGCGACGATTGCGCCGCCCGGCCGCCGCTGGCAGGGCCGCCGCCTCCGTCGGCGCCAGAACAGGCTCGAGCAGCAGCCACAACTCGTACTCTGCCGACGGCGAGCCGTCGTACATCGACGACTCGAGTGAGAGGTCCGTCGCCGCGCCGTTGTCAACGTCGAACTTGGCGACGAAGTTGACGCGGTCACGCTCGATATAGCGGGTACACATGGTGCGGCGCGCATACTTGAGCACACCGTGGTTGGTGCAGTTGGCGCACGTGCCTGTGGGATAGGGCGCCATAGCGACGCGCGCGCTCCGGGTATTTTTCGGGTATACCTGAGAATTCTCGGGTATACCCGGGTTTTACTCGGCCGGCCACCTGGGTCGGTCCGAGGTGTTCCAGGAATGATCAGAATGGCGAGGGCCAGAACGTGTTACATGTACTAGTCAGAACGGACCCCAGTTGCCGTTCCCGGCAACTCAGTTCACATAAACGCACAACTCCGGACCCAAGACGCACAAGCACAGACAGTCGAGAAGGGGGAGAGACAGCAACGACAGTCAGAAGTCAGCGCTGGGTCCCAGGAAGGCGAATGCGATGACGGCCTCTAGTGTGAGCTCTAGCTAGTGAGCTCATACGCACGCAGGCAGATCGCGACTATATACAGCTAGTTAAGAGCCGACCGACCCTCGCGTCCGGTGCTCACCGACGGCCGGGCGGGCCGCCCGCCCACGCGCCGCCTACGCGCAGCGCGTGCGCCGCAAACTCGCCCGCCGACAGCGCTGGCCAGTCTCCATCGGCCGTCGCGAGAGGCCTGCCCGGCTGTCGCCGCGGGGCCCCCACGAACACCACGCGTCGGATGCGGTGCCGCGCGAACTCGCGCGCAAAGTGCACGCCCCACGCCCGCCGCAGCGTCGTAGCGAAGTAGGACCGCGCCTCCTTCGCGCTACGCGCGCCGATCCGCCTCCAGTGCTGCTTGGATGCCGACTCCACCACACAGTCGAACAGCTGGTGCAGGTCGTCCGACGCCTCCGCGTAGGCCCCGACAACGAGGCTGCGCACGGTGCCAAACGAGCGCAGCACGGAGGAAACGGCGTCCCTCGAGCCGTTGTTCCATGCCTGCACGTGCGGCTTGGCATCGAGCGCCGCCGCCCGCGCCTCGTAGTCGCGCTGGACAAGGTTCGCCCTGTCGGCGACAGCGCCGCCTGGCCATCGTCGCGCGCCCGAGCGCTCATGTAGTGAGGCCCGCCGCGGTGGATGGTCTTGCCCTCGAGGAGGTGCTCCGCCGGCGGCTGCTCGGGCCCGCGCTGCACTGTCGTGCCGCGCCACCGGACAGACGGATGCGCCTGGCCTCGTGTGCCCGTGCAGCGCGCCGTGCGGGACTCGCGCAGCTTGCAGTGCAGGCGCCCATCCGGCACGATGCCGTTCTTGCCGCGCGTGCCAGCGGTGCCGTTGAGTGTGACAGGCGGGATGACGGCGCTGAAGATCTCGCGCGGTTCCTCCTTGCCGCGCAGCCCCGCGTGCAGCGCATCACCGATCACGCGTGAGAAGATGTCGTCGTGGCAGTTGCCGTGGGCGCGGTCGTTGAGCGTCGCCAAGCCCAGCTGGACGCCAAAGGCATCGCAGACTCGAGGAGGGCCGCGGCCGGAGCAGGCGATGCTCTTGCCCACGAGCGCGCGCACGGCTGGGCTCTCCCGGCCGAGGTAGGTGCAGAAGATCTCGCGGAACTCGCGCGCCTCGCACCGGTTCTGAGCCGAGGGCCATGAGCTCACCCACGCGGACGAGAACGAGTCGACGGCCAGCCACGCCTCCCGCCGCGTGTCGCCGTGCGGCAGCCCGAGGATGCTGCGGCTGAGCTGGTTGCGCTTGACCTGCTCCCGCTGCTGCGTCAGCTGCCGCTGTAGCCCAGCGCTGCCGGCCCGCCCGTTGCCAGCCTCGGGAGCCCGGACATCGAGAGGTCCCGCCACGCCCTCGCCGCGTCCGCAAAAGCCTCTGCATGGCTTTTGCCGGAGCAGCCGCCACCTGAAGCGGCTGCCTCTGCGGCGCTGGCGAGAGCCCGCTGCACAGCCTCACGGAGCGCTGCCGCAGCGCCATCCTCCTCCTCCACCACCACCTCCACCACCGCATCGGCACCACCGAGATGCTCTGCGGCGAGAGCGACAGTGTTGGCTTCATGCAGTGAAGCGTAAGCGTGCAGCACCGTCTGCTCGTCCGCCGGCAGTCGCTGCCGGCCGCCTGCGCCGACGCTGTTGACGACGTTGGCAGCGCCGCTGTTGCCGCCGGTCGCAGTACCGTCGTCAGCGGCGGCGGCGCCGCCGCCACCAGGTGGGCGAGCAGAGTCGGCAGGCATGCACCTGCCGACGCCGGTTTTACACCGCTGTGGCTCAGTTCACAGCCAGCCGAGGCTCCCACCCCGAGATTGGTGATGTCGCGGTGATGTTCGCCTGTCTCTCGCTCTCTCTGATAAGGCCACCGCTGGCGCCTCCGCGCGCGCAGCCGCCTCCGCGCGCGCAGCCGCCTCGCGCGATGGCCCGCGGCCCCGAAGCTCTGGCCGAGCCGCCGCGCTTCCCGCTCGACCGCACCGGCCGGGCGCACACCGAGGAGTCGCGTGCCAAGATCTCGGCGGCCAACAAGGGCAACGTGCCCTGGAATCGAGGGCGCAAGCATTCGGAGGAGACGCGCCGGAAGATTGCCGAGGCCACGCGCAACGCGATGCTCGCGCGCAAGGAGCGGCAGGCTGCCGAACGGGAGCGGATGCGCCTCGAGGAGCCGGAGCAGTATGCAGAGGCGCACGCCCGTCCCCTCGCCGGCCCGCCTCGTCGCCCCGCGGGGCACCGCGCCAGCCCGCCCACGCGAGACCAGCAACGCACCCGTTCGTCACACTCTCTCCTGCCTCCCCTCGCAGATGCTCGCAAATGAGACGGCGCAGAGGAAGGCGACGGCGGAGCGGGCGCTCGAGAGGAAGCGCGCCGCGGCGGCGGCGCGGCGCGCCGCGGCGGCCGCGGCGGCGGCGCTGGCGGCGAACGCGAGCGGCGCGACGCCGGGCGCCGCCCCGCCCCGCCCGCGTGCCCGGCGCGCCAACTTTACCTTTTCGGCCGAGGCGCGAGCGCGCATCTCGGCGAGCCTCCGGCGGAGGTGAGGTGGCAGGGCGTGGAGTAGCGCGCGCGAGAGGGGCATCCCCAGGACATTTCGGTGGCACATCCCGCAGGTGGCAGGACCCGGAGTACCGCGCGCGGCGGGCGAAGGCGACCGTGTCGAACGAGACGAGGAAGCGGCTCTCCGAGGCGATGAAGGCAAAGTGGAGTGCGGGCGACTACAGAGCGCGCCACACAAACAACGGCAGCCGACGCCCGCAGCGGCGGCGCAACTGACGAAGCAGAGCGCTCACGCCGCCGCCCTTCTGTTGTGACCAGGCTCGCACTCGGCGGAGCGGCGGCTCAAGATCGCGGAGGCGATCCGGCGCAAGTGGCAGGACCCGGACTACCGCAACAAGACGGTGCTGGGCATCCGACTCGCGCACAAGTCCGGGCGGTACGCGGAGCGGATGAGTCCCGAGGCGACGGCGGAGTGGAAGTCGAAGATCTCGTCGTCGATGCGCGAGCGGTGGCAGGACAAGATGTACCGCGACCAGCAGCTCCGCTCCGCGCAGGGACGCCCCTCGCGACCACCGGTGCGGGGCGGCGCGCCGCCGCGAAGGCTGGCGACGGCGGCGGCGGAGCGGGGCGCGGGCGGGGCAGCGGGGCGGGCGGAGGTGGCCGAGCTGGCGGCGGCGGCGTCGCCGGAGGCGGGGGCTGCAGAGCAGCAGGGTGGCGGCCTCGTGGCGTCGGAGGGGCAGGAAGAGGAGGAGCAGCTGGTGTTGTGGGGCGGGTCGTACTTTGACTTTGGGGACGAGGCCACGCCGCCGCCGCCTCCGCCGCCGCCGCCTCCGCCGCCGCGACGGGGGCGGGCGGGCGGCCGTGGTGGCAGCCGAGCGGCGGTCGGATCCACCGGGCGGCTGGAGCGTGCGGCGGACGCTTGCGGGCCGGGCGGGCGGGCGAGGGACGGCGCTCTGGGCTCGGCGTCGCAAGCGGCGTCGCTCGGCAGCGGGCGCGAGGTTGGAGGCTTGCCGTCAAACGAGCCGGACGCGATCGCGATGATCCTCAAGGGGGTGGGGGAACTGCCCGGCTTTGCGGACGGGCAGAAGCTCGAGTAGCGGCGCGCACCGGAGGCGTGCCCACATCGCTCTATGCATACAGTTGCGAGGTCACCGGGTGAGTCGGGACCTCGCCCGGGTTTGACGGTTTGTGCGCCACCCTCGATGCATGATTGCACACTCAGCTCCCACGAGCGGCGGAGAGCCGGGACGCCGGGGCCGCATGAGCGCGCATCCTGCGCCCCGGCCCCGGCGCCCGGCGCGCGCTCGCGACGAAGCTGTGTATTGTTTTACGGACATACCTATATAAGGTATAAAGGTTTGGGTACGAGATTTCGAGAACGAGTGCTCTCAGAATAACTCTCTGGTGAGGAGTAATGGAGAAGTCTGTCCGCGCCTAAGGATTCTGCCTTTCCTATTCTGCTCTACTACACAAGGATTCTTGCTATTCTACCTCTCACACTAGATTCCCCTTCCCAGGTTCCTCTTCTGCTCAGATATTCTGATTCTCTCCCCAGACTCTCCCATCTTGGCCCCGCTTTCAGCTTCCTGATTCTCCATTCTCGTTTCCTCCGCTTCCTTTCCGATTCTCTAGGGCAGCCAGAGCCAATTCCTGATTCTGCTCCCCCCTCCCGATTCTCCTGTCTCTCTTCCTATTCTTGATGCTCCATTTGATTCCTGATTCCTGATTCCTGATTTGTCGGATCGCCCACATTTTGACCGGGATTCTGATTCCTGATTCCTGATTCCTGATTCCTGATTCCTGATTCCAACATTTTGACCGGGATTCTGATTCCTGATTCCTGATTCCTGATTCCTGATTCCTCGGAGTTACGCATTTCGGCGGGATCCTATGTTGGCCTGACTCTCCGAACTCCTGAGCCGATATTGCGTGTGCGCGGGGCTTCACACAGCTCACTCAAACTTCGCCCGCGGCAGCATGCTCAGGCGCGGGTCTCTCTGGCGCTCCAGCCTCACGTCAACGCACTCAGCGCTTAGGCCTCGGTCCGGCGTCCGCAAAGGCGCAGTGTGTGGTGCGGGCTCTGCCCGCCCCCCCGAGGAGAGGGGGGGGGGGGGGCGCTCCCGCGCGGGGGGGAGCCGAGCGAAGCTCGGCTCGGGTTCAAACTAACCCTCCCCCTTTTCCCTTTTTCTAAAACTGCTCGCCGCGAGCGGCTCGCTTCTAAAACGAGCTCGCCGCGGCTGTCGCCGCGTCTCGCCTGTCTAGGCGTCGTGATGCGTGTGTGCTTTTGAGCTGGGCGTATAAGAAGAAGAAATCGAAGCACTCCTCCCATTGACTTAGTACGAGCACCGAGACACGAGACAGCAGCCTACCCGTTCTACACCCACACCGCCGCGGAGCTGCCTAGCTGGCGGGTGCATTCACAGCGAGCCCGCGGGCTTGGAGACCCAATCAGACAGCACTCCCCACAGCAAAAGAGCAGACGTGCCGCTGTGAGCATCGCTGAGCAGCACCAACGACCGCTTGCGGGGTCGCCGCAGGCCGGCGCCAAGCTGCATCTGACGCCGGCATGCCGTTCAAACCCCGGCACCAAGCGCCCGCGGGAATGGGAGACCGCCTGCCCAGAATTAAGATCGGCCGCGCACTGCTCTGGCTCCACCATGCCACCGCCCATGAGATCTCTGACGCAGTGATGAGCCGCCGTTCAAAAGTGACTGTACTGTGCGGAGCGCGGAGCGCACTTCGATGGCAAAGTGGGTGGCGCGGAGGATACGGCGCGTACACATGAGCGTGATTGGTTGCGTGAGCATGCCCAGATGGCCGGCCGGCCGGGCTACCGCCCCTCGACGGGCAAAAACAGGAATCAGGAAACGAGAGTCCGGCCGGGTTGCCAAGAAATCGGCGGGCAAAGGGAAAATTTCCGGATTCCGGAGCGCAGCTCCGGAATCCGGGAGCGGGCGCAGCCCGCTCCGGAAGGCCCCCCTCCGGAAGCGGCGCGCAGCGCCGCTTCCGGAGGCGCGGTTCCGGAGGCCGGCGGCAGCCGGCGCAGCCGGCTCCGGAAGCCTTCCGGAAGGGTGAAAATTGGGTGCGGCGCGGCCCGCTCCTTGGAGATATCCGGACCGGCCACCGGGTGTAGTGTTCGATGTCTCATTTCGGCCAAAAGAAGAAAGCCGCCCCGGAACGCCCGCCGGAACGCCGGTTTGCCGCGATGTGGCGCCGAAATGCCAGCGTGTCGGATCAACCGTATCCCAAACCGAGCGGCTGGGACAACTGGGGCGTCGGGCGGTGGCGACCGAGTAAGTGATGGAGTGTTGAAACTCGGGCAAGACGCACTATCGACGAGCCACTATCATTGATAGTGGCTCGTCGATAGTGCGTCAGGTCGTACCGGGACGCGGGAGGCGGGACTCGCGCCATGCGCGCGCAATAAGACGCCGCTGCGCAACACGGCGGCCTGGCCCGCGCGGCGCGCTCATGCTGCGCCTACGGAGCCCGTCGCTGGGCGGCGCCGGCGGGGATACGCGCCGCAGGGACCGAAAAGGTGGGCGAGCGCCGTTCGACGCACGCACGACCAGCAGCCCGCAGGAGCGACTCGCGCCAGCGCGTCATGCGCGCGCAATAAGACGCCGCTGCGCAGCACGGCGGCCTGGCCCGCGCGGCGCGCTCATGCTGCGCCTACGGAGCCCGTCGCTGGGCGGCGCCGGCGGGGATACGCGCCGCAGGGACCGAAAAGGTGGGCGAGCGCCGTTCGACGCACGCACGACCAGCAGCCCGCAGGAGCGACTCGCGCCAGCGCGTCATGCGCGCGCAATAAGACGCCGCTGCGCAGCACGGCGGCCTGGCCCGCGCGGCGCGCTCGCCCCGCACCTAGGGAGGCGCCGGCGGAGCGGCGCTGGCGGAGAGAGGCGCCGCCTGCATATTCGACCGAGACTCGGGTCACGGCCGGGAGAGCGTCAGGGCTGGTTGACGGCCGCCGGCGACCTACCACGGCGCTGCACGCCGCCGAGACGCCGCCGAGAGCCGCCGCCGGCTGCGTCGCGACCGCCGCCGCGCGGCTCGCGGCGGTGGACCCAGCATCTCCGCTCGGCGCCGCCTATATACTCGACCGAGACTCGGGTCACGGCTGGGAGAGCGTCGGGGCGGTTGACGGCCGCCGGCGACCTAGCACGGCGCTGCACGCCGCCGAGACGCCGCCGAGAGCCGCCGCCGGCTGCGTCGCGACCGCCGCCGCGCGGCTCGCGGCGGTGGACCCAGCATCTCCGCTCGGCGCCGCCTATATACTCGACCGAGACTCGGGTCACGGCCGGGAGAGCGACGGGGCTGGTAGACGGCCGCCGGCGACCTAGCACGGCGCTACACGCCGCAGAGACGTCGCCGAGAGCCGGCGCCGGCTGCGTCGCGACAACTGAGTCCGCGCGCCACGCGCGGGCGAGGGGAGCGGCGACGGGTCGGCGGGCGACGAGCCGCAGCAGCTGCGCCTAAAAATGAGGTGGCGGCGGGAATAAAGCGTCCTCTGCCGTGCGGGGAAGCGATCGCCGCCCTCGAGCGCGCCGCGCCTCATTTTACACCCAGTCCGTCCGAACCAACGCGACAGCTCGGTGCGCGCGCCGTGCTCGCGCGGCGGTGAGGGGGGTGGCGATGTGGGCGGTGCCGGCGGCGAGCCGCAGCAGCGCAACGGCAACGAGAGCGCCGGAGAGGAGGCGCTCAAGAAGTGGCGCATCTCAATAGCGCTGCACCACGGCGGAGACTTTGGCAGAGTGGACATCGCACTCGGCAGCCTACTCGAGCTCGGTGCTGCACGCCGCTGCTGTCTCGAGCGAGGCTGAGCGCCCAATGAGCAATGTCGACCAGCCGCCTGAGGGGAGGGGTGGGATGCGAGAGGTCGGGGTGGAGGGCAGGTGGCGGCCGCTGGGTCGGGGGAGGGTGGGCGACGCGGTCTCGGGCGGCAGACGGCGCCACGAGGGCGCTCCGGAAGGCTGGAGCGCCGGGGGCCCCAGCCCTCCGGAAACTGGGGCCGCGCCACTCCGGAAAACGCGGATTTGGGGGAAAATTCGCTTTCCGGCATCCGGAGGCAGAAACCGCAACCGCGCGACAGAATCTGATAAGGCGAGAATCGGACGGACAGAATCAGATCGATTAGGCAGAAACGGAAGCTGGGTGAGGAATCCTGCCCGGAGGCTGAGTGCGTGGAAAGGGGACGGGCAGAATCAGATCGAGTAGGCAGAACCGGAAAAGGAGAGTGAGCTAGTGCAGAATCCTCAGGCGTGGACAGGGTTCTCCAAGACTGCTGGTGAGACTCTCTCTCTATTTTGTTCACGGTCCACGTCTTTCCTCTTTCCACGGTTATTTATCCCCCGCTTGCGCTTCCCGCGTGCGGCTCAAAAACGAGCGTGATGCCCAAATCGCAGCCCGACACCGCGCCCGCGAGGTGGATGTTTCGGCGCCCGTTGGTGAAGACGAGGCGGAGCGACTGCCGCTCCCCTCTCAGCGGCCCAGCGTTGCACCACTCCTGCACCGCCACCGGCGCCGAGTAGTTGGTCGGCGAGCCGCCCGTGGCTCTATCCCACGAGGGCGTGCAGCCTGCCTCCGGCGACTGGAAGAGCGTGTGGACAGACTCGCCACCCCCCTCGCCGGCAGCCTGGTCGACCAGCTGCAGCGCGAACTTGGGGCCCGGAGCACCTACCCAGTACTGCCGCACTCACAAGAAGGTGAGAGGGCTCGGGGACGTCCGGTATGCCAGAGCGCAGTTGCCCGCGTTGCCGCTGAAGCCGACGACGTAGCGGTACGCGAACGAGACGCCAACGAGGGTGCGCCCCTGGCCGGCGATGTAGCCAGCGACGTCGACGATGTTGACCTCGCCCGGGTTGCCGCTGCGCACGTCCACGCCCGTACCAGACGCGCCGCCGCCGCTCAGCCGGGGGCGCGGCTTCAGGCGCGGCAAGCCGCTCGCGACGGGCATCACTCCGTCCGCAGGCACGGCGATGGCGCCCGGGCCTGGACCCGACGGCGCGGCTGTTGCGTGGTGCGGTGTGAGGTGCCGGAGGTGGAGGCGGTAGGACGCCGAGGGCACGCTGGCGGGAGAGGCCCCCCACGGCAGAGGGGTGAAGTCCGCGTGCTCGGCCGGCGCAGCGCAGACGGAGACGAGGCAGGCGAGGCCGGGCCGAGGGCGGGGGAAGCGCGCCGAGGCGGCGCCGCCGCCAACAGTCACGCGGAGCAGCTCTGCGACGGGCGTGTGGCGCGTGCGCGTGGCGGGGTCGAACTCTGCGACGCCGAGCAGGAGGTCGCACGGCGGCGCCAGGCTGTGCGGCGGCGCGCCGCCCGACGGCGGGAGGGCGCTGATTGCAATCTCGCAGTCGCCGTCGGCGGGCGGTGCGCCGAGGGCCTCGAGCCGGTGGCACGCAAAGCCGCACCGCTTGAGCGGACGGGAGCCGTCCGGACACCACCAGGTGCCGTCGCCTCCCCCGGCCCCCTGTCCGCCCGGCGGCTCGCTCTGGCGGAGAGGCGTGAAGCGGAGGCCGTCGAGGGGGTCGGCGGCGGAGAGGAGGGCGGCGGCATGCGCCTCGCCGCTGTGAGACCAGTCGAGGGTGAGGGAGGCGCGTGCGAACTCGCCGAGCAGGGTGGCGAGGTCGGCGGGCAGGAGGGCGCGCCGGTCGCCGACCAGGTTGGAGAGCATGTCGAGGGAGGCGCCCTCCCTTGCCTGCGGGCGGGTCCGAGGCGAGTGGGGAAGGTGCAGCGAGAGCGCGCGGGGCGAAGGCGAGGCCCCCCCGCCTGCCGCTGCCGCCGGTCGGCGTGCCAGAGGGCGTGGGCTGTGCCGCGGCCGAGCGCGCGGTCGAGGAAGCAGTAGAAGGGCCAGACGATGTACTGCCGCCCGCCCCCCTCTCCCTCGCCGTACTGCGTCATGTCGATGCCGAGGTGGGCCGTGCGGAGGAAGACGGGCACGTGAGGCGCCCAGGTGGCGCGGCGCAGGTGCGTGCAGTACTCGGCGTGCGCCTCCCACTGGTACCTGCCCACGCGAGCAGCAGCCGTGAGCAGGCCGCACCTCCTCCTCCCACCCCTCCCCTCCGCACCACACACCCCACCAGCGGCGAGTCGACGTGTCCGCCGGTGTGCATCTGCAGCACGTGGGCGAGCTCGTGCACCACCGTCCTCTCGCTCTCTGCGGCGCCGGGCTTGAGCGCCAGGAAGCTGTGGTGCAGCTTCGCCTGGGGGTTTGCGGCCGCATGACGCACCGCCTCGACCGGCGCTTCCACCCACGTGCCCTGGTGCGCCCAGCCCGCATCGTGTGGGTGCGGGTGCAGCCCGGTATCGCCGATGTACACGTTTAGCTTGCGGCGGAGGCCGTCGTCGCTCCAGCCGGGCGTCGTGTACGGGGTTACAAAATGGTCGGGAGACGCCGGGTCACAGAGTAACGCCCACGTCTGCTCGAGCCACCCGAGGAGCGGGCGGGCCGCGGCTGCAGCGCGAGCGCTCGACGGCCCGTCGCCACCCCAACGCACCACAAAGTGGGCCGACTCCAGCTGCAGCGACGGGCCGCGTGCCGCGACATACTCGGGAGGCTCCCACGCCACCCAGCTCTCGCCCGTGTCCGAGTCCGCGTCGGGCATGTGTGTGTGTAGCCGGCTGCAAAGGAGAAATACGGCGGCGCAGGAGGTGCTCAATAAATAAAGAAAAGGGGATGCCGCCACGCTGGCGCCGCTCGCGAAGCGGAAGGAGTGTCAGAGGCTCTGCACACACATATGGACACGCCGGGCCCGGCTGCCGGCGAGAGCGGTCTGCCTCTCGTCGAGGGCGCAAAGCCGCCGAGCGGCAAATCGCCTATCAAGCCGCTCCTGTGCCTCGCGCTGCTGGCTGCGATCGGCTCGTTAGCCCTTCTCCTCTACCCACGGCCCATCACGACGTGCATCCACTCGCGCGGCCTGCGCGTTAGCCCGGGCCTCACGCTGCCATCGACGAGCATGGCCGGCCTCGCCATCCCGAGCCTCGCCCTCGAGCCCTCCGTCACGCTCAACATCTCGACCGTCAACGAGAACTTTTGGGGCCTCGTCGCGACGTTTGAGGTGACCGCCTTCTTCGCCGGCGCGTCAACGCCGCTCGTGCACGGCTCGGTTCCGAGCATCTCGCTCTCTCCGCGCGGCGAGACGAGCTTCAATCTCACCGTCGCCTCGAGCGGAGATCCGCTCGCCTACTCGGAGGTTGCCGTCGGCTATTTTGTCGACCAGTGCGGAGTGATGCCAACCTCGTGGGCCTCCAACAGTTGGAAGATGGACCTGCGCATCGTGGTGTCTGCGTTTGGGCAGGAGGCGCCGGAGGTGTGGGTGCGCGACGTCGAGGTCGGCTGCTTCGGCGGGCAGATCAAAGACTGGCAGCTTGCGCCCCCCGAGGAGGGCGGCGAGGAGGCGGAGGAGGGGGAGGAGAACGGCGGCGACGAGGCTGGCGGCGGAGGGACGGGGTGCGGAGGCCAATCGCCATCCTCGGGCAGCCTCCTCCTGCCCAAGTATTGCGTGAAGGTGCTGTGTGGCCCGCAGGACCTGCAGTGCCAGGCGGAGCGGCCGGTCTGCCCACCACCTGCGCCAGCCTCCCCGCCAGCCGAGGGAGGCTTCGGCCTTAGCGGGCTCGGCCGATGATCGATCGGCTGCGGAGATCGGATGATAGGCGAGGCTGAAGCGAGGCCGAGCGAGCAAGGTGCCAGACACAGCGTGCGGGTCCGGGAAGAGGAGGAGGGTCTGGTCTCTTGCCTCTCTCTCCTTCCTGCATCCAGTTCGTTAACTCGTCACACGTCTCACGTCAGCATAAAATAAACACATCGAACCGCGTTCGTTCTTATGATACAATGTCAATGAGTCATTGAATCGCGCGGAATGAGCGAGCCTCGAGAACGAGTCGACGTGTACGACGATCGCTCTGGGGTGGCGCGGGGGCCCCCGGCCCACAGCCACACCGTGCGCCGCGCCGTTCCCGTAGTGCGGCGCGGTGAAACGGGGCTCCGGCTCTAACCTCTATATTAGTCTCTATTAGCACCGACTTCCCGGAATGAGTACGGTTGAGTAGAGGGCAGATTTGGAGAGATCTCGAGGAGTACATAAAGGTAGACCCTCCAATCATCAGAAACCTCCAACCTGATCGGTCGTACTGACCGCCGACAGATCACTGCAGACAGCAGACAGGCCGACGTCTGCACGCGGCCGGCCGGGCGAGAGGCTTGACACGATCCGACCCTGCGACCCTGACGCTACTGCTCTAGCTATCAGACATGCACTGCTGACTGCTGCCACAATGTGCGACCTGTGCTGGCCCACTTGGCGGCCTTCCCGGTCAGTGGTGAGGCGCAGTTCAGAGCTGTCGATGGCGCGATGCCGCACTGACTGGTCCCACATTGGTGACACGAGACCACCAAGTTTGCCGGTCCAAGAGAGAGGCACCGGCGCTGTCCTGAGAAGGTGCGTGGTCCCTCTTGACTGCCCATGCGCGCGAGGCTGTGTAGGCATAGCCTCGAGAGGGCCAGCAGCCAATCCGAGGCGACGCGCATTGCGCCAGAAGCGTGCACACGATGGAAGGACACCTTCCTACTGGCCGTACGATCAGGTCGTCACTGAATGCTTGATACTAAGGCCGCGAGCTATGCAGGTGATCAACTGTGCATCATGGCACGGTCAGCAGCGCCGACAGGCTGTCGCAAGGCGTGATAGCATGGCCGCAAGGTCGCCGAATCCCACGAAAACAAGTAAAAAATGGTCAAAAAATGCGGAAAAATCGGGGCGGGCCATGGGACCCCATCTTCTCCCCGCATGGACACCCTCTGGGGGCCCCGCGCCGGCCCAGAGGACGATCGACGAAGCAGGATATGGAAATGCACATAATAAGACACACATGCACCATGTACGCGCATGTGCATGTGCATGTGCATGTGCATGTTGTCACAAAAGTATAAGGCAGAGCAGGGATTCGGTTCGAACCTTCCCCCGTAGTATACTAAGGGCAGAGTCTTTAGGACTTAGTAATTCCGTCATTCGGCTTAAGTGATTGAGTCACGCTCGGCTTGGAATGTTAGAGAAAGGACCCAATGCCCCACGGCGACCACAACCCAGCTGGACGTCTTAGTTGCACGCGGCGTGCTCGGCGAGGCGAATATGCGTTCGAATGTGTGCAGGGCGGCCAGACGTATACATAGCTTCCCTCGGCTGAGCCTTTCCGCTGCGGACCGCCGCCGATCCTTTGAACAACAAAAGGTCGTGCGCTTCCCGGTGTGTGTGGCGGAGAGTAGAGAGTACCTGGCAGGCCAGCAGCATCCGCTAACCACTGTTTCTCGTTGCCGTAGGTTCCAACCGTCTACAGCGCCGTGTCCGATGTTGATCGTTACACCGAGTTTCTCCCGTGGTGCACCACCTCACGCATTGTGGAGAGGCGCGCCGTTGGCTCAAGCGCCGAGGACGAGCAGCTCACGACCGAGATCTGCATGGGGTACAAGCATCTCTCCGCCACCTTCGGTGCGTGAGCCTTTCGCGCACATCTATCCAGAAGATCGCGTTGCGACCGGGCTTGTGACCGCCCATCGCGCGTTTGCTGCAGGCTCGACCATGCACCTGCAGCGCAACCGTCGTATCCAGTCCACCTCGACGCCCAACGACTATATCGAATTTTGCAGCTTTACTTGGGAGTTTGCGCCGATCGGGCCGAGCGCGGCGAGGATTGACCTCAAGCTTGAGTTCGAGCTTCTGGCAGCGGAGCACGCCATCCTCTGGGACAGGCTGCAGGATCGCATCCTCGCCGAGTACCTGAACTGCTTCCAGTGAGGCGTCACCATGCCATGGGGCGAGAGGAGCTGTGTAATTACACGTCCACACCTCCGTACAGGCGGCGCTGCGCAGCTCTAGAAGAGGAAGCGGCGTTGGAGGACGCTTCGGCGCAGGCGCGTGTATTGGCCCTCAACCTGCACAGCCCCGACGGCTCTCACCCCTGGGTCCCCCGTTGCGCCTGCAGCTTGCGATGGGCGATGTTGTCCCTCCCGCCGGTGCGGCCATACTGGCGGCTGGATCGTGAGCTGGCGGCGACGCTGCTGTACAATTCCACAGACGCGTGCACTGCAGTGGCTCAGCCTCTCGCCCGGCTGAGCATGCCGAGGCCCGAGAATCGAGATGATCCACTTGCGACGAAAGTTGTGTGCAGTGATGAAGGGGGCACGGCCCCATGCCTCTGTACAGCCTTTTCGTGAAGGGCGCCTGTTGCTGTCCGGCTTCAGAGAGAGAAGTGGACCTTGTCGTACCTTTGTGTTCGCAGTTTGGTACCCCGGAGCCAGTCTAGTGTCTTTGTGCGGACTATCTCTCCGCTTCCGGTTCTCTCCCCTCGCACCAAGTAAGATAGAATCTCAAGAATCTTACAAGAAGAAATATATCACTCGCGACGCCGTCGCGTATCCGGATACGCGACGGTGGCAAAGAAAAAAAACTGTTCAGTTTTCAAAGGCAAAAACGCCAGCCTACGCCCTCCCCTCACACTGACACTTCTCCCCTATTCCCGTCTTTAGGTTGCGCGCATCTCCCAGCGAGCTAGGTTCTCCGCTTTTTCTCCCCTAGTCATCTGCCCGCGCCGCGCGCCTCTGTGGGCGTCTAGTGCAGCCACTGACAGAACTGTTCCAAAGGAGTGGTCAACGTCTCGCCTGAAGTCGGGTGGGCTCGCGCACTGCTTAGCCCTAGGGGAGGGGTGTGTGTGAGGTGTCGGAATGGTAAGGTTTCAGGCCGCCAAGGTGTGGGGGATTTGGGGGATGAGTCAGGAGCCAGCAGCCTTCCTGCTGGACCTGAGTTCACAGCTCCTCCGCCCGACGGGGTGGTCCCTTGGATTCGGGCCCCGCTCCCTTTTCCTGCGCCTGGTCTGTCCCTGTCAAGTGTGTGTTGCGAGATGCAGAGCTGGTTAGGCTGGAGCGCGGGCGGTGCGGTGGCAGGCGAGGGCAGCGCGGTAGGCGAGAGGCGGCCGCGGGGCTTCGAGTGGCGCGATAGGAGGGTAGGCTGGCTGTGGAGGGGCGCCGCGTGGCCTCGGCAAATGAGTAGTGCTTTATGAGCGGCCAGTTTTGTGCGTATTGCAAATCGAGCCTGCGGCGTGGCCTAGTTGGTGCAGCGTTCGGGTCGGGGACGTTTTGGTCATTGGTTCGAGCCCAGCTGGTGCAGTTCGTAGTCGCGCAGCGACGCGGGCGCGCGGGTGCGCGGCAGCCTCGGCAACCGAGGCGACAGTGGCGAGCAGTGGCGAGCAGTGGCGAGCAGGGGTCAGAGCAGTGCGGCGCGCCGAATTTTTTCGATGGGCTCGGTCAGTGGGCGTGTCAGGAGGCGGCCGGCCGGGAGAAACTCGGCAGTAAAACTCCCGCGCCGGCCCAGGAGGTGGGAGTGTCACGGAGGCGGCCATTGGCGCGCGCTCCTTGTCTACGTGGGTCCGAGTTTTTTTCGCGACGGTGGCAAAGGTGAAAGTGGTACACCGTCGCACCACCCCGAGACACGCTCTCTAAAATAAATAAATAAAAACGGACACCTCTACTGTGAGATGGGTAAAAAGGAACAGGACCCTGCCCGTGCGATCTTTGTGCAGGGTTCTTTGTGGGTGTGGTCGGCGACTAGCCGGGGTCGTCCTCCCGACGGGGGACTAGCACTAGCCCACGCTTTCTCTGTAGAGAGCGGGTCTGTTGTTTTTGTCGGGCGTAGGCATGCGTGCCCTGCACAAAAGATGGCGCCACCTCGCCTCGAGGTGTATCGAGGTAAGCGAGGACGACGCAGCGAGTTGACTCTAAAGCCGTTTTATTAGAGTGGCAGAGGCCAGAGCGCTATGTTCCGCTAGCCGTATTAGTAATTAGCGCGGGTCCCCGCAGGCGTAATATAGGCCGTGGACGAGTCTGGAGAGGACGACCCCGGCGACCCGGCTAGTCGCCGACCACCCACAAGCGAGAACCCTGCATTGCCCATCTCTGTTTTCTCTACTCCTAGGTGTGAGGGTGAGGTGTCCGCGCGCGTTATCCGTTAACCGCGCGCGCGTTATTTGTACTCTGTGGTGGTGATATGGTTTACGCGCCACACCCCCACGCCGACACAGCGCGCCCTGATGGCTAACACCACATGCCTGCCGTGAGTTCCTTCACCCCAGTCGTCTCGAGGCCAACGCAGCGAAGCAGCAGCCACGCCAGCACAGCGCGCCCGAGCGGCGAGTCGACGTCGCGCACCTGCCGCAGCGCCGTGTAACCTGCGTGAGACGTGCGTGCCTCGAGGGGAGTGGGCCTGTGGCGATGCAAGCGCGCCTCGAGCCGGTCATGCTCCGCGTCGAGCAGCCCGATCTGCGCAGCACTGTGCCGCCTCGCGTCGGCGCGCGAGTCGAAGTCGGCGGCGAACGCGGCAAGCAGCAAGCCACCCTTGGAGGGCTCCTGGGGGGGGGGGGGGGGCGGGGCAGGGCGGGGCGGAGGGAGCTCGGCTGCCTTGCAAGCAGTCGCGGGCCAGCACCGCGGCGTGAGGGCGGCTCCTCGCATAGCGACGCGACCACCTCGCGCCCTCGCCGCAGCTTGATCGAGCGCGAGACCGGGACCTGCGCCGCGCGTCGAGAGGGTGTCCAGAGGGCGTGTCGTGTGCCGTGAGTCGCGGTGAGGGCGCTGTCACGAGCGAGCATGCTGCGTGCGGTACCGAGTAGGTGGTTCGCGTGTAGCCGCCGAGGGAGTAGATGACGAGGTTGTCCACCTCGAACCCGCCCAGCCGCTGCAGCTTGTGCAGCCCGGCCGAGGTGGAGTAGACCACCTCGACAACCTCGTCCCCGAGCCGCAGCTGCACGGCGGGCGGCTCCGCGAGGGCGCCCTCGCCGCACAGGCGCGAGAGGGGTGAGCGCGCGAGAGGGGTGAGCGCGCGAGAGACCGACAGCGGGGAGGGCGCATGCGCGCAGAGTCTGCAAAAGGTGTCTGGCGTGCAAATGTCAGGTGTGCGGGGGCGCGCGCCGGCACAGCCGGTTCCCATGCGGGGCAGCGCGCGCGGAGCACGCCTGTGAGCACGAGAGCTGGCGTCTTCCTGCGGCTAGTGGCTGGCGGGCGGGCCACAGGCGGGGAACGCGCCTTGCTTCCGGAATGAGTCCTCCCGCCGCGCCCACTCTGCCGGGTGCTGTTGCTGCAGCTTCAGGCCGAGCCCAAGGTCGGGCGCCACCGTCGCCTCGGTGCGGCAGAGCGGACAGAGCGGCGCCGGTGGCTCCGCAGAGTCGTCGCCCGAGCGCGCAGCGTGCTGGTCCCAGCACGCAGAGCAGAACAGGTGCTCGCACGACGTCCTCACAGGCCGAAACAGCAGGGCCAGGCAGACGGCGCACTCCTCGTTTGGGTCGTGTGAGGAGGAGTGGTTGCTCGAGACGTCGTCATCGAGCGCGACCAACCGCATGACGGCGCATCGCCCTGCCCAGGAGCACTCGGTGAGCGCCCAAGAAAGCGAGGAACGCTCTGCGAGGAACGGTGACGCATCATAGCGGGTGCGCCCGTGCGAGAGGAAGCCCGTGTTGCGAAGAATTAGTTTCTTTCGCCGGCTGATATGCATATCCCACGAGGCCCGCACCAATGACTTGCGAGGTCGCGAGATACCGCCTTCGGGCGTGCTCTTGCGTGCCGCTTGCCCTCATTCCCCCCCGCCAAGACACGCCGGTTTGCTCACCCCTTCTCGTGTGTGTGTGTGTGTGTGTCTCACTCACTCACACGCCTACGAGTAGATGGTGTTTGCTCCGTCCCCTCTCTCTCAAAAATCTCTGGCTGACAAGCTGCCGAACCCAAATCACTGTGAGAGTCGTGATTTCTTGTTGGTTTTCTAAATAAAATCTCTCTCTCTCTCTCTGATCTGCCAACAACAAACCTAAAACTCTCACAGTGATTTGGGCTCGGCAGGCAGCTTGTCAGCCCTCAGGCCTCAGCCGAAGCTGGGGCTTGGCCTGTACGAGGTTTTCCGGCAAACAAACAACAAACAAAAAGGAAAACAGAGGGTCCCCAGCACTTTGCGTTTCCGGAAATTTCCAGGGAAAACAGAGGGTGTTTGGTGCTCCATTCTGGAAACTCGCGAATTTCCCTGAGTCTGAGAGAGAGCTGGTCTGGGGCAAAATCTGAGGCAAAATTGAGGAAATCGACAAAATACCCAGGCGGTCGCAGGGTAATTTCCAGGTCTATACGGGTTCTCCGCAAAGTTCCCGGCATTTTGACGATTTGGCCTAAAATTTGGCTGATTTTGGGCCCAAACCTGCCTCAGACTCGGCTCAGAGCCCAAAATTTGACGATTTCCACGGAGTTTTCCCGGGACAAGAGAGGGTGCTGTAGAGAAAAAAGGAAAGGAAAACAGACGGGGTGCGAGAGGAAAACCTCGTACAGCCTAAGCCTGGGGCCGGTCCCGTAGCCGAGAGAGCCCGCGCCGTTGAGTTCGACGCGGTCGGGGGGCCTTGCGGAGAGGCCACAGCGAGATGGCGATCGCTGTACTTCATGGCGCCCTCAAAGTGGGGCTGGCTGGCTGACTCGCCAGAGGTCGATACTCTGGACGACCCATAGGATGAGCACCCAACAGGAACAAGAGTTTTCAAAAATCTCTCTCTCCCAACAGCGACAGCGACAGCGACAGCGACAGCCACATGCTTGCGATCGTGGATTTCAACGTCCCAATGCTCGCAGCTGATGATTGACGGCTCGCTTGAGATTTTCTTTCTCTCTACGATCTATCACTCACGACAAAACGAGGCGTGAACCGCGCCATTCGCTCTCACCTGGCAACCCTGTCTGCACGTCTCGCGCGCGCGTGAACAGGGCCAAACTTTAAACCACCATAAACATCAGTGTGCAGGGGCATCTGCAGGGGCTTTTGCAGGGGCTTTTGCAGGGGCGGGGCTCCAGGCCCCAAATGACGTGTGAGTGTTAGAGTTGTTTGGTATTGCTAAAAATCTCTCTCTCACTCACGTTGTTTGAACGGCAGATGAACGAGCGCTGGAGTCCAACACGGCACGTGCTGGAGAAAAGAGTTTCAGCGACTCACGCCCGCTAAGCCAGCACGGGCACTGTCACCGCGTTAAAGAGAAGAAAGAAACAGACAACCCAAGGGAGGGATGTCACCGCGTTGATTGACCGCCGGCAGCGGCGGATTTTTTTGTTTTTTTTGAGGTCCCGGCTCTTCGGCAATCCACATCCCCCCCATCCTGCCCCCATCCTGCCCTCGATGCCAGTTGTCTGGCGGAAGCCTCCAGTGCCCTCAAAGGCGACTGAGAAAGAGCCCTCAAAGGCATCTGGCAAAGCCCGTTTGACGGACGCGAAGCCGACACGGCACACCTTCACCGTCAAGCGGCCCTTCGACCACAGCGGCCCTGCGCCACGGCTCGGAAAGGTCGGTGTCTCGCTGCTCGGCTCGACCGTCGCGACCGTGGGTGTAGGCAGCCCAGCCTGGTCCGCTGGGATTCGCCTTCTCGATACCATCGTGGCTGTTGACGGTATTGCAATCGATGGCCCAAGCTGCAACCAGGCCCTCGCCACCCCGACGGCGCGATTTGCTCACATCGTGGAGTTCAAGCGCGCGCCAGTTCTGCTCGTCGAGCGGCCGCCGCGCGCCGCGTTTGAGGATGCGGTGGCGCGTGCGGCGTCAGGCCTCGATCGCGAGTGGCTCGGCGCAATCAGCGCCTGCGTGCGCGACGACGTGGACCAGTTTGGGGTCTGCTCCAGCCTGCTCTCCTCGCGCGGCGTGGAGTGGCGAGAGCGGACCATCACTGCAGAGGAGTCGAGTGCAGTGGCGCTGGCAGCCTTCGCCGTGGACGCCCCGAAGCCTCTGCCAATCGGCGGGACGAGGCTCGTCGACGTGGCGCTCGACGCGGGCTCGACCGAGGTTGGTGTCTCTTGTGCACGCAATCCGCCCATACTCCCCGCCAAGCCTTCTCCGCGAATGTTATTAGGTGCTCCGCCTCCTCCTCCTCTCCATGGACGAGGGGCTGGATGAGGGGCAGCTCTTCTCCCATGGCTACGAAGACTCCGTCTCCGGTGCGTCTCCCCGTTTGTTACCCCCCCCCCACCCCCAGAACACACCCTCCGCCCCCCCCCCCCCTCCCGCAGGCAGCAGCAGCCTCGACGGCTCGAGCAGCGGGTCCTCGAGCGTCGAGTCGGGGGCAGCTCACAGCCGCCAGTCCAGCGGAAGCATCGCTGGCGGCGCCTTCCGATGAGCTCGATTTGCCGGGACGACAGATCCGCATTTCGGGGCGAGAGCCGACTCCGTGAGTTGTCTCTGCTTCTCCTGGTCGCCGGGGGATAACCCGAGGTGCTGCTGCGTTTCGCCCGAGAGGGAAGCAAGCGTCAACGTGCACATAGATCGCACATCTCGAGTCCTGCAATGTAGAGTTTCCTCGTTTTGTTCCATTATTAAAGGCGCATTATTTGTATGTGTGTGTGGTCGCGCGACACGCGGCCGTGGGCCCCGATGCGCGCTCGCCACACCCGCTCCGCGGACCGCGCACCAGGATCCAGGTGCCTGGTGCGTGGTGGATTTGTGCGCATGCCCGTCTGTGAGCGTGCGGGATGTTTTTTTGCGCAATATGCCGCACTGGCGTAGAGTACATTCAATAGACAATACGTAAGATGACGCGACTTTATAGTGACCGCCACCGAGCGCCGACCGGACCGCCAGCAAGCGCGCGAAGCTCAGCGGCCCAGCGCGCAGCCTGGTGCCTGGCAGGCTAAGCCTGGAGCTACGGTAGCAAGAAGCAGTGCACACAACACAACCAATTCTAGAGAAAGTGCGCTGGCTGACGGTGATGTACATGTCCATGCACCAGAAGACCACGATGTCTACCTAAGAGAGTATCACAGCATCTACCCGAGGTCTGCGCGAGAGCTCCGCTCAGCCGTAGAGGCGAAATCGCGACGAAGAGAGCGGCCGGCGGCAGTCGGGGCAGGTTGGCGCCGGCGTCTCCTCGTCGCGCAAGGCGGCCTCGCGCGAGCAGTGCGTGAGCCATCGCCGCAGGCAGTCCTCGTGGAAGGCGTGCCTGCACACGAGTCCGCGCGGGAGGGGTGTGGGGAAGGCGTCACCTGCCCGCCGCGACCCGCCGCGCAGAGGGCGACGCCTGCACGACGTCACGTCCCACCGCTGCACATCTCCTGGGACGCACATCTCCTGGCAGATGGAGCAGAGCGCCTCGAGCGGCTCGCGCCGCCCCTTGAGCATCAGCTGGGCGACGACGCCGCGCACGGGCAGCTCGGCCGGCCCCTCGTCCGCCTGCTCGCAGCGAGGCTGGGTGGGGGAGGGCCCTCCCCTTCCCCTCCTCCCCGGCGGCCCGAGGCTGCCAGCCCGAGGTTGTACGCCGTGCCCGACTCGGTCACCACGCGCGAGTGGGACTCGAGCTCCTGCTCGAGGGAGACGGCGCTCGTGCTGATGACGGTGCCTACGGGAGGGTGTCGTCGACGTGTCGTGCACGAGTCCACCGCGAGCTGGACGGGTCCACCGCTCATGCTGGCGCGGGTGCCGTCCTTGAAGCCCGCCTTGCCGTACACGCGCCCAGTCAGCCGCCCGTCCTCCTCCCACCGCCAGCTGCAGAGCGTGGGCTCCTCGGACGCCCCCCCCGCCCCGCTCCCCGCCCCCGCCGTCTGCAGGCCGAGGGGGCGCAGCAGCCCGACGCCGACGCGGATCCACGCGTCGTGCGACGGCTCGCGCCCTTCGAAGTGGACCCGCACCGAGGAGCGACCTTCGTTCTGCTTGGCGGCGATCACGGTGGCGGCGCGCCAGCAGCCCTGCAGGTCCTGCGCCTCGATGCAGGCTCCGACCTCGAGGCCCTCCTCCCCCTCCTCCTCCTCCTCCTCCCCCCCCCTCCCCTCCTCCCCCTCCTCCTCCCCCTCCTCCTCCCTCTCCTCCTCCTCCTCCCCCTCCCCCTCCCCCTCCCCCTCCTGCGCCTTGGCCGACCCCTTCCCGGCAGACATCGGCGCCGCCACAGTTGCCGCCCCCTCCGCCCCCTCCGCCCCCTCCGGAAGGCGACACACCACCGCCTCTGGCGAGCGGCGCCTCTTTTGCGTGATTCCGCGAGGCGCCAGCAGCCGCTCCTTTCGGCGGGCGAGGGGCAGGTCGTCGTCGCTGTCATCCTCCTCGACCTCGACCGGCTGCGGGGGCTGGAGCAGGGGCTCGAGGGGCTCCTTCGGCTCGCCGGAGGCGGTGCCTTGCCGCGACATGACTGGCTCTCCCGCCCTCGCCGCCTCGTCGGCGTGCGAGGCGAGGGTCGAGGCGAGGGTCGAGGCGAGGGTGAGGTACTCGCGCAGAGTTGACCGCTCGACGCCGCCCGGCAAGCTCACCGAGTAGTACGGCGGGACGTCGTCGTGGTGCACCTGGTGGGAGGGCGGAGGGTGGTGGCTCGAGCACGACAAGGACAAGGACAAGGACAAGGACCCCTCTCTCCGATCTCGGGCCATCTCGCGTGATCTGGTGCCTTGAGCACGCTCACAAGGACCCTCTCCCCCCGGTCGACATACCAGCAGCGCGCCCCTGCGGCGGAAGGGCGAGGCGTAAGGAGGCTGGGGGTGGTGGGCGGCCAGGCTCCTCTGCCCGCCACGGACCCGGCCGCAGCACGTCCTCTCCTCTCCTCGTCCGGGCAGCGGCTCTCGGCTCGGCTGCCCGCCCCGCCTCTGCCCGCCCCGCCTCTGCCCGCCCCGCCTCTGCCCGCCCCGCCTCTGCCCGCCCCGCCTCTGCCACGCGCAGGCGCGCACTGAGCGGCTGCTCGTCCTCTGAGGAAGTCTCTGCCGCGTCGGCCTTGCGGAAGCGAGTGCTGAGCGGCTGCTCGTCCTCGTCCGACCACCCGCTCGACGAGCCCCCCGACACGGAGATGGTGGGACGCCTCTTCTCCACACCGCTCTTGTCCGGCCTCTCCACACCGCTCTTGTCCGGCCTGGGCCGCGGCTTGGGCGCCAGAGGCCGTCCCGCCCCGAAGAAGTTTGGCGCTGACGCCGCTGCTGCTGGAGGCTTCGGGGCGGGGGGCGTGGCGGGCTTCGAGGCGGCGGGTTCGGCGGCGGGCGGCCCTTTTCGAGCGGCTCGTTCAGAGCCGTCGATCCACTTCAGCAGGGAGTTTGCTTGCTCGTGCTCGAGGTGGTACCAGCCCTCGTACCCATCCTCGTCGAAGACAATGCTGTGCCGCTGGGTGTTGGTGTCGAATCGTGTGACGCGAGCGTCGTACCACACGCCCTCCTCCCACTGCAGCTGCACCCGCCGCCCGATCAAAGCGGGGCCTCCCAGGCTGCGCGAATCCTCGCACGGCCGCATGCTGCGAGCGCCCACCCGAATCCACTTGTCGTTTGCGGTGCTCCAACCAATAAAATGCACGCGCAGCGCGAGCGTCTCGCCGGCTCGAGTGTCGACATCGATCACTCGCGCCTTTCCCCATTCCCCGTCCGTGTCGCGCGCGAGGAGCTTGTCGCCCGGAATAAGATGAGAGCCCCAATCCTTTGCAATGCCCATAGGACGTGAGGCGCGCTCTGCGGCCAAAATTCTATTTGCTTGACGGGTGGCAAGCAAGGCAAGCAAATGGCTTCAAGAGGGGGGGCACGCCGAGGTCCGGTGCACCGCTCTGACACAGTGTGAAGGACGTTTTTTTCTTGTCAACTAGAGGAGAATGGCCGGCGCCCCATGGGCGCCGGGCCCGCCCTCGGGGCGTGGCGTGTCTAGTGATAGCGACGGAAAAGGATTTGTGACGGGTAGGCCGACACACACACCGTACACCGATCTCGGGGCGTGGCACGTCTAGAATAGGTCAATCAAGAGATCAGTAGTCAAATCAGAAAAGAGAGGAAAAGGAACACTCCGGGCCTTCGTAACCGAAAGGTGAGCTGAAGTGCTCAAGAGTATCTGCGTCGTACTTGAGATCGCAATCTAACAAATCGCTTGTGGCGGGCGTCTCGTGGAACGGTGCATTCATTAGCACCTCGTACGGCGACATTGCATTGATCACAGAGAGAAGTCCGGCCCCAGCTTCGGCTGAGGGCTAACGAGCTGCCGAGCCCAAATCACTGTGAGAGTCGTGATTTCTTGTTGGTCTTCAAAAATCTCTCTCTCTTGATCACTCGACATAGATCAGACCGGATCTGAGCCTTCAACTCCCTAATCTGTGGAGGGTCGAAGATTGCGCCCATAGAACGGTCGAGCATATTTTTCTTCCACTCTTTCTCGTCTTTCGCTTTGAGTAGCTCTTTGAGCTCGGCAACGCGAGCATGACCGTTGAAGAACCGTTGAAGGAGCGCGTCGTACGCATATTGGTAGGGCAGCTGTGGGAATCCGTCACACGCTACATCACCTTCTTTGATCTCTTCAACACTGAGCGATCGGAAGAGGTCTTCTGACACGCACCGCAGCCCCCTCTCCGACCTTCGGATCTCAAAGTCCGTGTTCCAAAGCCGCCCTTGAATCCAATTCCGTATTCGGCTTTTCCCATTGAGATAATTCCGTATTCCAATTCAAAGCCCGTAATTCCGCAATCCTAACACGCACCGCAGCCAACCGATGCTCTTGCGGTCTCAACCTGTGCATGTCAAGCCATTCTTCCGGTGAAAATTCACTCCACAGTTGTGGTGCATTCATTAGCACCTCGTACGGCGACATTGCATCGACTTCTCGTCGCAGGTCAGATAGTATCGAAGCACTCAGATCCTCAATTTGTGAATTCAGCTCCTCGATCTGTGCATTTGCAGCCTGCTCTCTCTCTTCTAAATCCTTGCGAGTGAACGAATAGTGGCTGCAGCCTCTGAGCATGGCTCTGAGCTCTGAGTCCCGCTCATGGCTACGGCACATGCGGTCCAGAAGCGAGTCGTACGCGAACTGGAAGGGCAGCTGCGGGAATCCCTCACACGTAATGTCTCCTGTACACGTCTTCCCGTGCTCGTCCTCCATTGCCGTTGCGATGGTTGACCTTGCGGATCTCCTCTCGCGGGGGCGTGCGGTGGCGTGCGGGGGCGGGGCCCCGCGGTGGCGTGCATCGTGCGGACTCGAACCAGGACTCGGTAGTTGTGACCCCCCTGAGTGAGGACAGGAGAGAGAGAGCTTTGTGGTGTTGGTGTACGCAATAACGGGACAGGGTAGTCGTTCTCTCTAGCTCCCCTTCTAGCTCTTAGCATGAGCTGCGCCCTGTGTCCGACCCCATTTGCGCAGCAAGCAACACCTTAAACAGGGGCCCCCGCCATGGACTCGAATTGGCGGATGCAACTAATTTCAAGATCGAGACTCTCGATTCACTCTTCACGACCAACGAAACGCTTCGAATTGACGGGCGGCTTGCAACTGAAGACGAGCGGTGTCATCTCCGCTCCAAGGACGAGCTGATGCTCTCCGGGTGACGTTTTATAGACCCGGAAAGTTGGCGACACGTCGCAAAGAGTACTTAAAATTCTCAATGATTGGGAAGCCAGCAGCGCCCTGCGACAAGGCTGGCTACCATTGGTGTTTTGGAGCAGTGGCTTGTGGAACGTTGCTCCTGGGCCAGGAAACCCTCTTCCTTCGACCAATGAGGTCGACTCTGAAATGGACAGATATTGTGGCGAGGACAATGACGATCGGCTGGCGACCCGTTAGGGTCGACAGTTGAGCTAGGGAGTGTTGCGATGGCCGCCCAAATGCGAACGCAGGAGATAAAGTGCTTTGCGGCGACGTACCGTGGGAAGGTTCAAGTCGCCGCTCGGTTTCATTAGAAGCTCCTTGACACGTGAAGTTCTACGTGCGTTCCACGGGGACAAGGCGCAGCCAAGCTGTTGGAGAGAGACAAAGGGTCTCTCTCGTTGCGCGTTTCCCCACCCGCCCGCCCTGTGATAGTTTCTTGCCCACCCACTGTTTGGTGTGCGGGTTGTCTCTGTTGTGGGGTTGGGTGCGCTCGCCCGAGGTCCTAACCAGGCCTCGGTCCAGCGCCCAGGGGTCTCAGACCTTTGGCTTTCCCCCCTTTGCTATTGTTGGTCGTGACGACCATTTCGATTGGTTATCGTACAAGTTCGCCAAAGCCTCGACACACTCTGGTCAGTGCCGCCGCTGCGTGCAAGCGCGCAGGTGCATCATGTGTGGTTGGACTCATGGGCGTTGGACTCAATGCCTGGGGAGGCCAGTATGTCCGAAACGCAACAAAATTTCAGCACGAACACTGCGGATCCACATCTTGCGCGTTTCGACCGCATTTGCAAATGATTGATATTGCCGATATCACTGTTGCAATGGGCTCAGAGCAGGGCCAGGCTGGATATGGGCAGGGCAGGCGTGGCGACAAACATTTCAGCCACGCCACGTACAATCACGCTCGTGTATCAGGAAATTCTGAGTGCGTGGGGAAATCAGCTTGGGGTCAATGTATGTGAGCAACCATGCCCATCTGTTCCAAGGGATTGAGTTTGCACCAGGTTGCATGAGACGTGATGCAGGCGATCGAGATGACTGGCCAGATTTCTTCTGTGAATACAGAGGCATTGTCAGAGGCAAAGAGAGATCGAGGAAGAGGAACTAGACGCAAACAGGAAGAAACAAAGAAGCCGCGTGGGAGGGTCGCGTGTGCGTGCGTGCGTGTCTGAAGAGAGAGAGAGAGAGAGAGAGAGAGAGAGAGAGAGAGAGAGAGAGAGAGAGAGAGAGAGAGAGAGAGAGAGAGAGAGAGAGAGAGAGAGAGAGAGAGAGACGGAGAAGAACGTAACAAGCGCCAGTTCCCAAGCAGCCTGCTGTGGGGTTCGTTGAACGCAGAACGAGCATACGCCGTGAAAGAGGGAATGGATAGAAACCGAATTTAGGCCGGTATCGATACATACCCGATTGTAGTCTTGGTCCCGTGCGGAGCGAAATGTCCGGACGCAGCCACTTGGTAGAACCGGTGCTATTATCTCTTGTAATGGAACTATTCATTAGGAGTCAAATAGCCCAAATTGGTGGTGAGTTATGGTAACCCAAACCGTAAACCGAGATACAAAGGAACTACTTATGGTATTGAGGTCACCACCGTGTATATATTTGAGACAAGTAGTTGGAGCAAATGCTGAGCTGGATATCTCGAGGAGATAACTAGCTGGAAAGACCGATCCAAGAAGGATCAATATAATGCGACTCCTCTATGCGACCACGGCGGCTAGAGCCCTGGGCCGCCTCCCAACGTGCAGCGAGTAGTCCGGCTTGTCCTCCTCTGCGGGCTGCCTCGGCCGGTGAAACGCCCATCTGTATTGCGGCCGCCTCGGCCGTCCAGCGTTCGCCGAACCCCTGGCGATCGCGGCTCGCTCCTCCGCCGACGACTGGCGAATGGACTGCAGCCGATCCCTGATCGCGTCCCGCGCGTCGGGCGAGACGAGCCTGTGCGCCCCCCTCACCAAGTTCGTCGCCGCCGTCCCCGCCTGCGCAACGGGCTGCACTCCCCTGAACACCGCTAATTGGTAGAGCCATCGCACGTGCACGCCCAAGAAATCGCGGACAGAAATGCCGACCGAGGCCCTGGCCACCGCCGCCGCCGCCGCCAGCACGCCGCGCAGCCCGCTCTGCCCGGCGGAGAGGAGCGCCGCCGCGACCGAGCCCGCCACAGACCAAGCCTATGCGTGCCACCCCCAGCGTCACCCGCCGCGGCCAGGCGGGCGAGGGGCGAGGCGGTCGGGCCTGCTTCAGCGGCACCGCCAAGCGACGGCACACGGCGAAGAGGTGCAGCGCGTGCCGCAGCGCCGCGTGGTAGACCGGCACAACCACGGCCAGTGCGGAGACCACCTGTGCAAGGCGCGGGCGTGGTGACTCGCGGGGCGGCGGCGACGCGGCAAGTCGCGCCGGCGCTGCTTGGCGGTGGAGCGGCAGAGCGACCATCAGCGCAGGCCGCAGCCGCTCGTAAAACTCGACGGTGGCCCGCTTGAGAAAGTCGTCGGCGTGGGCAAAGCCCCACCTCGCGAGCTCGACGAGAGGCAGGACTCGGTGGCCGACAAAGGCGGCGGTGACGCGGTGCAGCAGGCTGCGCAGCCGGAGCACGAGCCGCTCGATGAGCGAGACGTTGGCGTAGAGCGACCAGGCGGCCCTAGGGTTGGGGTGCGGGCGAGGGCTGGGACGGGTGCCGCTGTCGGCTGGAGTGGGCTTCGGCGCAGTGGCGCGGCGACCAGACGAGCGACGCGCTCGGAACCACCACCGAGAGGAGAAAGGCGAGCCCCTCGCGGAGGCGGCTCGAGTAGAGCCCGCGCGGCAGCAGCGCCATCCACCGCTGCAGCCGCGGCCGCGCGTTAGGCTCGAAGCTTGGCCCGTCGACGAGGCGGAGGAGGGTGGCGACCGCCGAGAAGGAGTCGTACGGCACGAGGAAGGTGAGGAGGCCCGCGCCGGACGCCGCGGAGGAGACGGCGGCGACCTGAGGGTGAGGGCGAGGGCGAGGGCTAGGGCGAGGGTGAGGGTGAGGGTGAGGGCGAGGGTGAGGGCGAGGGTGAGGGGTGAGGATGTGGGCTAGCGCGGAGGAGCGGAACCAACCCTCTCTCTGACGCTCGCCGGCGACGCCTCTGGCCGCGCCGCAACCTCGAGCATCACGCACCTGCGGGGAACGGCTCGGGCGGGTCGTTGGCATGCCACACGCGCACAGGACGGCTGCAGCGTCGAGCTGCGCACAGCACGGGGGCGTCCGGCGTGACGTCGCCGACGATGCACTGGGCCGTCACCGTGCCCACGCGCAGCGAGCAGCGCGTGAGCTTGCGTGGTCCAAGTGCCTCGGAGCCGCAGCAGCGGAAGGGCAGGGGCGACTGCGCCGACTGGCGCGGCGACTGCGGCCCGTCTCGAGACGCGGCCCGCCCAGGCGAAGCTGGACCTCGCTCCGTTGGACCTCGCTCCGCTGACGCCTTTTGCTCGCACTGCAGCACGGCGAGGCGCCTCCATCTGTCCCTGTACCCGTCCCCGGGCTCCACCCACGAGAACTCGAGCTCGCCCGTGGGTAGACGCTGCAGAGCGACCGCGTTGCCGAGTGCACGCGGCTGCCAGCGGCAGACGGATTCGAGGACGGACGGCCCGATCTGGACGCAGCGGCGAACGAGGCAGAGGGAGAGCACGATGCGCGCAACCTACACCGGGAGGGCCATCTGTGTGCGGAAAGTAATGCAGAATTCTGACGTCAGGACTGCTGGCACACACCTCAATCAGGGCCAGCCGGTGATCGCTTGCCCAGCGATACAAGGAGCGGTGGAGAGGCGCGGGCGGCTCAGGAGGAGGTGGCTTTGCCCGCTGTGGAGTACGCCACCACTGCCTTCTCGCAAGCGATGCCGCGCGGTTCGGCTCGCCGAGCAGCAGAGGCTTCTTTGGCGCAGGGAGGGACACTGTCAACCCCAGCAACAGGACGAGCCAGACCAAATGCACCAGTGCGGAGTAGGTCGGCTGGCCATACTCCAAGGACTCGATCACGACTCTCCTTTTGCGCGTCGAGCGGGGGCGGATCATTCTTGAATGGAAAAATTGCAGTTTACTACGTTTTGAGCTTTTCTCTTGCAGATTACTACACACCACACAATCCACCTTGCAGATTACTACACACACACAATCCACCTTGCAGATTACTACGCACCACACAATCCACCTTGCAGATTACTACGCACCACACAACCCACCTTGCAGATTACTACTCATCACACATTCATCGCGATTACTCACCTGAAAATCCGAGGTTGGTTTTTGCACCCGCAGCCCTTCCTGACCGGGGCGCCGCACCTGCGGCAACCGTACTGCCGAGACGCGCGAGATGGAGCTGGCAAGGCTGGTGCGTTCGCCATCGGCCCTGTCTAGGGTACCGAGGCTCCACCCCCCCCCTTGGCGCCTCGTGTTTTTCGTGCCAAACCAGCGCGATCTCGGCGGGGCCTCAGCGCCTCTCGGAGGGGCATCATGCGCTCCCGGGGCCGCCCGACGGCGCGGGCCTCTTGCCGATGGACCCAGCCGAGGTGCCCGATCAGTCGGACCCGCGTCGACGCGCTGCGCGCGACCACCAGCCAGCTTTTCATCGGGGCCGAGGACGGTGTGTCGAGAGAGTCGACAGTCAAAGTAGCAGCCGCTTTTTTTCCCTCTTTTTGAGCGCTGCTGCTGCACACCCAGCCCACCAGTGATATGAGAGGCACAGGATCTACCCCGTCGCGAGCTTGACCGCAACCCCGGTGACCGCCCACAGGTGGCTGATCGCGGCCGCCGCTCACGCTGCTTTTCGGCGCCTGGCTCTTAGAGGGCCCCTGCGGCTCTCGCTCGTCGCGCGACCGCCGCCGACATCATGTGCTTGGTCGTCCCCGCCGGCGCGGAGCTGCGCCACGTCGAATTCTTCGGTGGCTCGACCGCCGGCGCGCCCAACCTCGCCTCCTGCGCGCCTCAGACCCAGTTTTCACCTCGCGCGCGGCCGACAAAGTGAGCTCACGACCACCTCCCCCTCGCTCCTGTAGGTGGGCCGCCCCGCGCTGGCGGGAAGAGGCGCGCCGAGCCATCGGTGACGTCCTGGCGAGCTCATGTCCCCCCAAAAGGTCGCACCCGCCCGTGGCTCCGCCGTCGGCTCCGCCGCGAGCGGCGACGGTTAGGCCGCCGGTGCTCGCCTATACCGGCTAGTGTGGAGCTATCAGTGTGGTTGCGTGTTGTACCAGTGATGCTGCACTAGGCGGCCCGTTTTTAGCAAAAACCAGATACCACATCGCGTGTGGTCGTCGAAAAAGCGCATCTTCGCCCGTCTGGGACCTCTTCGTACGGCTCCAAAAACCGCTCCTTAACGACGGCTACGCGGCCCGGCGGTCGATCTGCGCCTTCTCAGTGGTGGAGGGGATGTGGGCGGTACGTGCGGACCACGTGGTCCTGCGATGGCTTGACGAGTGCGACTCCCAGCGTCGACTTTTCAACCCCACGGAGCCTCTGCTGCTCCGGGGGGGGGGTCTGCAGACCACCCGGCCGAACTTCAGAGTCGCGGTGCTCCTCAAATACCGCTCAAACGCCCACGATGTTGTGGAGGGGACATATGCTGATGATCCTGGCCCGATTGGTTCGCTCAGAAAGCTTCTGCGCGGTCGTTAAGGTTCGCTCCCCGCACAACGGCCGGGAGCCTGGGTACCCTAGACCTGCGTCGTCGGCGCCGGCAGCTGCGGTGAGGGCTGCGGCGGTCTGAGAAGCATCCTCGTCGTCGCCAGAGTGTGCCACTGTTCAACCTTGGAGCATGTCCGCGTACGTTCTCTCTCCGCGTAATCTGCGATGAATGTGTGGTGCGTAGTAATCTGCAAGGTGGATTGTGTGGTGCGTAGTAATCTGCAGGGTGGTTTGTGTGGTGTGTAGTAATCTGCAAGGTGGGTTGTGTGGTGCGTAGTAATCTGCAGGGTGGTTTGTGTGGTGCGTAGTAATCTGCAAGGTGGTTTGTGTGGTGTGTAGTAATCTGCAAGGTGGGTTGTGTGGTGAGTAGTAATCTGCAAGGTGGATTGTGTGTGTGTAGTAATCTGCAAGGTGGATTGTGTGGTGTGTAGTAATCTGCAAGAGAAAAGCTCAAAACGTAGTAAACTGCAATTTTTCCTTCTTGAATGGAGGTCGGCCTGGGCCTTGTACGTTTTTAGCTTACTGGGAGAAAAGAGAGAGGGGGTTGTGTTCTCTAGGCCCCTAGGGGCCCTACGCGCGGCGTGAGAGCTCGGAAGCGAGCTTAGCACGGCGATCGAGGATGGCACGGTTCACCCCCTTCACCGAAGCGATGGAGATGCGTTCCGCGTGGTGTGACACAAATGAGAGGCGGGAGTGGGGAGGGTACGCGGTGCGGTCAACGCCCGAGCGTTGAGCCATGCGCGCAAGGCGGTTGATCTTTGCAACTGCAGGCGGCGAGAAGCCGCCGCCGAATGTCTCGTGGAGAAGCAGGTTGAACTGGGACGGAGGATGTACTATGGCTCCAGTGCCATGGCAATCGACTTTATGGCGCGCAAGCACGGCTACGTAGCGGTGGATGTGGAGCCGGGCCTGGATCTATTTCTCGTTCGGTCGGATCTCTGGGGGAGGCGGAATGTTCCCGACATAAGCCAAGTTGTCTTCAGACCTTTCAACATTCATCGAAAGACGGCACCCTCGCTCCGTCGGCGTCGTACCCTTCTGGACATTGTGGTGTATCAAAATCGCTCGGTGTCTGCTGCTCGTCATCAAGCTGACTTGCAGCTGCGTCGCCTAAGGGGTCTTGCGGGCCTCTGCTATAATCAGGAAGATAGCAGTGCATACTACCAAAGCAGCAGGAAGGTCAGGCCGTGCCATCATTTGTTTTCCCATCTCTATGAGGAAACGTGCCAGGCATACCCAAAATCAAATGGTGTGCCTCTTTACAGGCAGCAAACATGTATGTCATGTGCATGTGCATGTGCATGTGCATGTGCATGTTGTTGTCTGAATGTCTGTAGCGTGTCTGAAGTGTGTGTATCTTGTAGAACAAGGGGTAAAGCGCGTCGTTTGCGGTTTGCGTGTTTTTGGGAAGATCTTCAACTTCATCTTGATTCTTGTTGTCAAATGACAAATGATCGCCGCGTCCGCGCCTCCACAATGAGCCGCCTCCACAATGAAGGTATGTGAGCCACCCCGGGAGCCGTCTCAGATATGGGATCTCGTCAGGCCTCGCACGCATCGGCTCTCAAACAAAGAACCAGGTCGCGCCTCGCTCCCGGAATCGCATCGGGCGTGTCTACAGGTGTCGCCGCAGAGGACCATCATGCGCGCCCCAGGTCAAGCTCCTCGCGGGACGCGGCGCATCTTAACGCACTTTTTGATAGAGATTTGTTCTCGGTACTGATGGCTAAAAATCTCTTCGCTCTGTCGCTCGACCTCGTGAATGAAGAGTGTTGTGAATGAATGCGTGTGCAGAGCCGCGCACCATCGCCCATGTGCGTGCTGGACAAAGTGCGTTCGGTGCCGCGCGCGCCGACACAGTTTGCACTCCTGAAAATCGATGTCGACCTCTATGGTTGGTGCGCGGCCGCTCGCCCAGATGGCATGGGTCTCTGTAACTGAAGAAAATCGCGCGGCTGCACACCTTCTGTGGTCCCAACCCAGATGTGGGGACTGCTAGAGAGCCTGCTCCTCATGCCCTGCTCCCGCCGCACACCACACACCGCAGACGGCCGCGCGAAAGCCGAGAGAGGACAGCCAGTGGGGCAAAATGCCGCCAGCGCAATGGAGTGCCGGGGGGCGGGAGAGCCGAGATGGCTCGAGCGAAATGGCTGTTCTCGAAGCTGGAGCTGCTTAAAAGTCGACCGAGGGGCCCACATCTAGCGTTGGGTAAGGAGATGGCCGCGGATCTCCGCGTGGGAGGGAAGCCGCCTCCCTCAGCCGCTTGCCCAGACGCAGGGATGCTTGCGGCGTCGCGGATGGGCCACTCGAGACGAACGGGTTCGAATCAGGCGCCAGCGCAAGCGTAGTGGGGTCGACTGGCGGCAGCTCACGCCCTCGAAAGTAGTCTTCCTCCGTGAAGACCTGCGATGGCGAGAGGGGTCGAGAGGACGCGATCAGAGCGCAGACTGGCGGCGGGCGAGGAGGTGAGGCCTCGAAAGCCCAACCTCGGGGATGCCTTCGAAGAGGCTGAACTTCTCGAGGACGTGGTCGACAGGGCTGCTCGAGTAGACGCTGAGCCTCTTGTCGGCATTGCACATCAGCACCGCCACGTCAGCGTCACAAAGAACAGCGAGCTCCGTGGCCTTGCGGACGAGGCCAGCCTTGCGCTTCGAGTAGGTGATTCTCCGGTGCCGCGGGCACTCGATAGGTGCGATCTCGATGCGGCCCTCCACAGTCTTTTGGCCGCCAGGCATGGCAACACGAGCTCAAGTCGCACAGCCTCCCCTCCCCCCTGCTTTCGTTGCGGGCTCCGGGCTGGATGTCACGCGTTTTTTACGATACGCTTTCGTCATCTTCTGCGCGTCCACCCCACCGCGTTGGTGTCCAGTCCGAGCCTGGCTGTTCTTCACCTTCCTACATACATACATGGTCTTGTGAAGTTACAGTTTATAGCGCCACTAGCTGGAGCTCCTCGTCTTACTCGAGTACTTTGCGTTGCTAGTTGTCTCTTAATACGAGCATACCGAGATACCGTCGGTTGCATACTTGGTTGGGGGGCGGACGGACTGGCTGGGGACTGCTGTATGTAGTGTGTAGACTGACTGACAGGGTCTCCAACTTTTGCGGGGTGAACGTGTGACGCGCTGGCAAGCTAAATTAATACCCCCTCAGTAAGTCGCGATAAGGTTTTTGCTCGCCTTCCCTGGGACCCCGTGTTGCATGACTGTCTCTGTGCGAGTGAGTGAGTACACACACACCGAGTGAGTGAGTACACACACACACACACACACACACACACACACACACACACACACACACACACACTCTGTGCGATTTGGGGGCTGCGGGGTGCACGTTCCTGCCTGATGCCCGAAGTTGCCAACCCAAGTTGCTGGTCGAGCGTACTGCCATGCGCAATTTGGCCGGCCTCCTGCACCGCCGTGCTCAGATGGCGGCCTCCGCACCCGCCGTCGGCGTCGGAAACCGGGTCCACCAGAGCTTCGGCCAGCTCTCTCTCCGATCTGCGCAGCTGGCCGAGACGCTCCGCTCGGAGCACGGCCTCTCGGCCGGCGATACGGTTGCGCTGGTCGCGTGGCATAGATGCATCACGCGGCGCGCCGCCTGAGACTTCCGCTAGCGCGTGGGCTCACGCGGCCGCGCCTCGCGGTCAGATGATGCACAACGTGCCCGCCTTCTTCGAGGTCTTCTGGGGCTGCCTGCACGCCGGGCTAACAGTGGCGCCGCTCAACGCCAAGCTGCACGCGAAGGAGATCGCCTTCTGCCTTGGCCGCTCCAGCGCGCGGGCCGTCTTTGCGGACGGCAAGCTACAGTCCACTGTCGAGGACGCCGTCGAGCAGGCGGGTGGGACCTCGAGCGGCGTTTCGCTCCTGCGGGTCGGCGACGAGCAGTGGCGCGCACCTTGCTCGACTGGCCACGCGGAGCCCGGCCGACGCCCCGCGCCCCTCCCCGCAGGTACGCGTCGCTCTTCGAGAGCGACGCTGCGCGCGCGCTCGAGGGCGCGCCGGCGCACGCGCTGCTCGACCGGGTGGCTGCGGTGGAGGCAGGCTCTCCGGCGTGGCTCTTCTTCACCTCTGGCACGACCGGTCGACCAAAGGCGGCGGTGCTCTCCCACGAGAACCTGCGCGCGCAGAGCCGCGCCTTCCTGACCGACCTGCACGCGGTCCGGCCGGAGGAGGCCATGCTGCACGCGGCGCCTCTCACGCACGCCTCCGGCTCGCCGCCCCGCGCACCCCGCCAGACGCTCCCCGGACGCTTCCCGGACGCCTCCCAGACCCTTCCCAGACCCTTGCCAAGCTAGTCCCGCAGGCATGCACCACATCCCGCATCTCACCCTAGCCCCAACCCGCCCGCAGGCATGTACCACATCCCGCACCTCGCCGCGGGCGCGTGCAACGTCGTCCCCGCCTCGGCCGCCTTCGACCCGTCCGAGGCGCTCGGCCCCGCGCCGCCGCCGCCGGGGGCGGGAGGTGCGAGTCGGGAGGGGCGAGCCTCGCCCCTGCCGCAGGTGCTCCACGAGCTGCTGCCGCGCTGGGCGGGCGCCTGCACCTTTCTCGCGCCGACGATGCTCCACCGGCTCTGCGAGGCTGACGCGGCGAGCCGCGCGAGCGGCGAGGCGCTCGAGCATCTTCGGACGGTCGTGGTGGGGGGCGGGCCGCTGCACGTCGATCTGCTGCGGCGGGCGATGGGGAGGTTCGGCGAGGACCGGATCGTCCAGGTGTACGGGATGGGCGAGTGCCCTATGACCATCGCGCACCTCGGGCGGCAGTGGCATCGCGGGGCCGACGAGGCGTTGCTGCGGTCGGTCGGTTGGCCGTTCTCGCACGAGGTGGAGGTGATGGTGGCGGGCGAGCAGGGCGAGAGGCTGCCGCACGGCTCCATCGGCGAGGTGTGCGTGCGCGGCTCGCCGGTGAGCACTACCTGGACACTTCCTGGACACTTCCCAGACGCTTCCTAGACACTCCGCACCTCGTCCTCTCCTCCCCGCCTGTCTGCCCCTCTCCTCCCCGCCTGTCTGCCCCTCTCCTCCCCGCCTGTCTGCCCCTCTCCTCCCCCGCCTGTCTGCCCCTCTCCTCCCCGCCTGTCTGCCCCTCTCCTCCCCGCCTGTCTGCCCCTCTCCTCCCCGCCTGTCTGCCCCTCTCCTCCCCGCCTGTCTGCCCCTCTCCTCCCCGCCTGTCTGCCCCTCTCCGCGTGCGACCGACCCCTCCTCCCCCCTCGACGCACCTCCCTCCCCTCCCCCGCAGGTGATGTCTGGCTACCTCGGGGACGAGGAGGCCACCCGCCGAACCTTCTTCCCCGGAGGCTGGCTCCGGACAGGCGACTCGGGCCGCCTCGACCCGACCCGCGGCTGCCTCACCCTCGAGGACCGCATCAAGGACATGATCATCCGCGGCGGCTCCAACATCTACCCGCGCGAGGCGACGGCTCGGCCGCACCCTCCCCGCACAGCCCGAGATGTCGCCGCACAGCCCGAGCTGCGGCCTCGAGCTGCGGCCTCGAGAGACTGGCCTCCGGAGGGAGAGGGGGCCGGGAGGGAGAGGGAGCCGGGAGGGAGAGGGGGCCGGGAGGGAGAGGGGGCCGGGAGGGAGAGGGAGCCGGGAGGGAGAGGGAGCCGGGAGGGAGAGGGGGCCGGGAGGGAGAGGGAGCCGGGAGGGAGAGGGAGCCGGGAGGGAGAGGGAGCCGGGAGGGAGAGGGAGCCGGGAGGGAGAGGGAGCCGGGAGGGAGAGGGGGCCGGGAGGGAGAGGGAGCCGGGAGGGAGAGGTGCGGCCCCCCAGCTGCGGCCCCGACGCGCAGGTGGAGGAGGTGCTGCTCACACACGAGGCCGTGTCCGAGGTCGCCGTCGTTGGGGTGCCGCACCTCGAGTGGGGCGAGGAGGTGGCGGCGGCGCTCGTGCCGCCGCCCGGCACGCGGCGCGAGGCGAGGGAGGCGCTCGAGGCGGAGCTGGACGAGCTGTGCCTCGCCTCGCTCGCGCGCTTCAAGCGGCCGCGCGCCTACCACTGGCTCGACGAGCTACCCAAGAACAGCACGGGCAAGGTGCTCAAGCGGGAGCTGCGCGAGCTGCTCGCCGAGAAGGCGGCGGGCGAGGAGCCGGCGGCCGCCGCCGCGTGAGGCGGCTCTAAGTGGCAGGGGCGCGTCTTAGTTAATTGTTTGTGTATATGTGGCTGTGCGCATGAAGCTGGCGTGAGCGTGTGTGGTTCTTCTGGTCGGTGGAGTGGTTGGCTTGTTGGTATGGAGCGGTCGGTAGCATGTCTCTGTGTAGTCCACTTGCACTACGAACAGTGCGCAATTGGGCTTTCGCTTTGTGGTCTAGTGGTTCGACACACTGAGTTTGAAAACGTGTAGTACGTCGGAGTCACAGCGCGTGGGGGAGCGCGTTTGGCGCTGGGGGCGCCCCCGGCCCCGCAGCCCCGCACCAGCGCTCGCCTAGTTCGCGCTTCGGCCTCTTAGGGTACCCCTCTAGAGGGTTCTGAGGGTCCCCTAAGGCTTCGGCCTTGAGATTGTATATATTGACCCTTGTCGCTTGTGCGGTCCCGAAGCCGAGGCGCGCGCGGACGCGGACTGACGGACCGGAGCACACGTGACACGTGTACGTGGACACATGACTGGTGACGACGCGCCGTCGCGGGGGAGTGCGAACTGCGGTCGCGGGGGTCCGGAGCGCGGCCGCGGGGGGGGGGGGGGGGGGGTCCCCATCGTCCTACGGGGGGAAGGTAGGACCGTGTGAGTTGACGGAAATTCAGGGACGCGACCCACCTCGCCACAGACGGTCCCGCGCCTCGCCGCTATGACGGGACACACCCCGCACCGTCCGCTGTGTCCCCGTCTTTGTTCTGAGTGAAAAGTCCAACGCGCTCGTCGGTGGCGGCTTCCCTGACCTGCGCCGCGCTCGGCGAACCTCGACAGCGCTTTCGGTGGCATGCACCTCTTTGCGACTGAAGCCTGGAGAGCAGCTCCTCTGCTGCTCACACGGTCTGCACAGTTAGTACAGCCCACTGTGCGGCTGCCACAGCTGTGACAGCGATGGGCTCGCCCTCACTGGCCCTCAGTCACTTGTGCTGCGGCTTGTGTGAGCGACACTGCTCGGCGACTGCCGGCACACTGTGAGACCATGGGTGTGAGGTAAAACCACGCTACCACTCCAGCGCTTGGTCACATCGGCCCTGAGGTCAGATCCTTCTACTCTGTTGATGACAACACTTGTCTACTCGCTGGAGCCGAGCAGGAGGGCCTGGCGCACAACCCCTGTGCAACTCAGGGTCCTTCCCCTTTAAGGTGGCGTCCACGTCGCGTGAAGTGTCGGTGTGTCGCGCGTGCCTTACTTTGTTACTTACCGCGCGCGGCTAGATCCCATTTTTTAGAACCCATCTTGCGACGGTGTATCATTCACTTTATGCCACCGTTGCATATCCGGTATATGCAGAGGGTGGATGCTAGGTGTAAAGCCTGCCTTTGGAAACGGGCAGGAGAACAATTTTGGTCCTGCAAACAATATGAACAGAGCATATGTGAAAATTGGAATGGCGATACTTCGGGTGGCGCCCCTCAGTTGACCACTGCGTATTGTGGAGCATGCCCTTGAGCATGATCCGGTGAGGAGGTTCTGACTCTGGGCTTCTTCTTTTGCTCCTTCCCC